AAGGAATATAAATAAAAACAAATAATCCACCTAGGGAACACTAATATAATTGTAAAACTTTAAAAAATATAAAAAGACAGATAACGAAGCTAGATCATTTCCCTTGTTGAGAACGTTCGCTCAAGGGAGACAATGTTTATGCTAAATACGTCCAAAGATTTACATACGTCATTTGCAGCGATGACGCACCTGGCTGAAGGACTATGCCTTAGTGCACTGCTCACACTAAAAGTAGAAAATTCTCTTATTTGCCTCGCCGGCACACGTAAACCAACAGCGTCCATAATGGAATGGCAATTTATTTTGCCCTTAAATACATTAATAAGAAATAATACCAAACAAAATTAGGTAACTCTCGGTTTACGAAAGAATTCCGTTCCAAGACGTTGTTCGTTATATGTTTTTGTTCGCCATGTTTATCCTGCATTCCTGAGCTTTTACGATAAGCGTCGTATACTTTACGATACTCGATCGTTTCACACACCATAATGACGAGCTATGTCCACCTGTTTCTGTCCTTTTTATGATGTCTAGATTAGTTTCTAATAGAATAATGCTTGTTTTATTACTACCACTATGAACACCACCACTATTATTTCGCTTTGGACCTGTGATCGCTTAAATTTTTAAAAATATATTTTTAAGCCACCAAATGCGGAACTACACTCGATCGTCTAAGATAACATAGACAAAGCAAGTGATGATCCTATTATAATATAATAGGCGGAATCACCGATTTATTTCCCCACGAGAAAACATTCTACGAGGCGTGGTATGTAAACCAACGTTTTTTACTGGCTAAATTAGTTTTATTAACCAAGAACAGTTCAGTATAATTATCATATAAAAATTTTATGATAATTATTGTAATAAATAAATTTTTTAAAAGTTTGTTATTTAAATATTACAATTGTGTTCTCTATACGTTTGGCACTTCGTTTTATAAGGAAATCTATTGGCGACTTTAAGGAATTTTGAATGAATTGTGGCGTTCGTTATAGCGAATGTTTCGTAAATCGAACGTTCGTAAACCGAGAGTTGTCTTTACTGATCTCATTCACAATAAAACAAATTACGTCCTGTTGAACGTAGGCTAACTTATTTTAAAAATTTCTGTCTTCTAGGATGTTGGTTTATGATCTGAAGCTTTCACAGTGACTAAATATAAAGAATTCTTCTCGGGATACCAGCCGTGTCAGGTGGTTGAGTGGAGAAATCACCGATGTTTCGAGAGCCATCTTCGTCCTCGTCCTCAGGGTACTTTAGTACCGTGATGACTCCCTCCTTTCAACCACCTGACGCGGCTGCTAGCCCGAGAAGAAATCATTATGATAGAACTTTACTGCCTCCATCATCAGGGCGATGGCGAGTGTTAGAGCAGGTGGTGTTAAAGAGCTAATTGCAAGAGAGTAGAATTATAAACTCGCTTGTAAGTCAGATACTAACAGTAATTAACGGTGTCTCCTTCGTACGAGGGTCAAAGTAAGGGAGTGCATGTTGGACCTCGCTCCATAAGGACCCAGTCTCATTACTAGAATATCCATGATCTGGACTATCTAGAACAGTAGATTAAGACACTGATAATATTTATGATTTGAAAATGTTGTCGTAACGTGAGAGAGTTAGATATTCACATCTTCAATTCATTCATAAAGAATTTTAACACGCCAAATTAAGATATACGGGGAAGTAGAGATACAGTATTCAGATGTAAGAGGGCTGCTGTGGTAACAGATTAGAGAAAACGACATAATGAGGTGCCTTATAGTGTGTTATGTACACTAGATATTATTTGGATGAGAAAATAATGGAGTATGAAGTAGACGGGGCAGAGACGAAAATATGTCGTGATTGGATTCATCTGACTCAGGTTAGAGACTACTGGTGGGCTGTTGTAAACACGGTGATGAACCTTTGGGTTCAGTTTAGGCTAGTCCACTAACTAAAACTTAGACTTGTCTTTGGTTAAAGCTTGAAATTTTGACTTCGTCGACTAATAAAGTCGAATATACAAGTTATGAAGAATCTTCAGACAAAGATTTCGATCCAATTGCACGAAGTTACCGTCTGACATCTCTTGAACTGAGAATTTTATGGCAATCTAATTTAGGACTCTATACGAGAGATTAATTAAATTCAGGCATAACTATATATTTAATAGTTGTGATACTTAATTTAAATATATAATATAATATTAAATTTAAATGACAATTTTTTAGAGTTCCATTGTATTTCTTACGTTGATATTTTAAAAAAAGTAAAATACAAGCAATTAATATTTTCTATGCGAATAAAATTTAATACATCTGGAATTAAAGAAAAATGAGAAATCATTGAAAGCAGGTTTATTTAGGTTATCATATTCTTTTTAATTTTCTTTACATAACATTTCTGAAACTCTGAGTTCAACTAAAAATTTACTAGACAAAGTTCCTAAGCGTAGAAGAACGAGGAGAAAAATAAATTAATTTAAACGTATTAAATGTAAACGCAACAGAAATTCTGGAAAGTAGTTTAAAACACAAAACTGATAAAATAGTTGCAACTAAAGAAGACGATTTTAATAGTGAAAATAGCTGCCTCGTGATCAACATGAAAATGCAAGAAATAAAGAGAAGTTAAACTTCTATTATTAATGTGGAGTCTGTATCTTACTTACAGCTATTTTAAGAATAGGCAAGGTTATATTTCACTCATGATGGCCACAGTTATATACGAAGTAAGCCTGGAGGTTACACTTTGGATACATGTGAAGAAGCCTTTTTTAGGGCACGGGTTACATGATAATTAGGGCCTTGTGGAAAATCTCCTTAGAGGCATGTTGGAGGGTCAGTGTATTTCACCGAAAGTCAGAAGTAGTGCGCTACAAGGAAAAATTACGAAGGTATAAATAAAGCTATCAACAGCTGCTTGATCCATATTTTATCTTAACACCAATAATACTTCGATTCTTCTTTTTAAGAAGAAAGTGCAGCCCTGATAGGCATAACCAACACGGCCTATTGAAGTAGTAAACCATTTTATTAGTACAATATTAAATATGTCAGAAATCGAAAGCCTATTGTGTATACACCTGAAGTATGGATTTATTTTCATAGAGAGTCTTGGAAAACAAACCTATTTCTATGGTACGATGTAACAGGAAGACTTAGAAGCTCTGTTGTCTTTAAGAAGACAAAAGAGACGAATTGATGTTGGTATAACCTTAGAAGCAAAATACTTTATAATTGTTTAATTTTAACCGTCTAATCACAATAAAATATTTTAATAAATATTAAAATATTATTATTACAATTAACATTTATAATATTTTAATATTTAATAAAATATTTTATTGTGATTAGACGGTTAAAATTAAACAATTATAATCATCACAATATGACGCAATATTATCATCTCAAAAATACTTTATGTTACATTACGGACTTTTGCCATTTTCCGCAGCAAGAATATTATATAAAATGTTACTTAGCACCACTCTTAATGGGAAGGGTTTCTGGATGCTAAATCAAGAGTGTAATTAAGTAACAGAATCTTCTCGAGTGCTGACGACGCACTTTATAATGGTCTGACTGGACTCAAGTTGAACTGAATGCTCACCTCCTTGTTCTTCGCCGTTTATGTTTAATGCAATTTCTCAGACAAGAGGAAAGGAAACGATTAATGAGGAATTTTATAATTCATATACCTTATATTACTATCATGAAATCAAAGATGATTTAATGGATGAGACATAAGAGAAAGATGTAAGATTCATATAAAATTTTATTTGGAAATCCTAAAGGAAATGAACCACGAAATTAAGAGATATTTAAAAAATATAATATCAAATTCTACACCCGATTATTCTGACTCAGGATAGCGTCTGGTAGTGGCTCTTGTGATGGTACCTCCTTTATTATCTCAGCTATTATCAGTTTTTTAGAACAATTACCTTCCATTGAATCAGTTCCACACTCAATTGGTAGGGAGAGAGATGGAAAATGTAATGTGAGAAACACAGGTTGTGACTGAGGTGAAGTGTTAAATTATATGTAAGACTTGAGGTTCTCACAGCGGTGAGTATGAAGATTTCCGTCTTCTGGGTTGTTGCCCTATGTAGTCTGGTTGATGTTAACCAACGTTTCAGAGGTCATACTGCCTCCGTCATCAGGGTGATGA